CATTCTCCTCATTAGCATCATGAGCCTACTCTTCATCAGACTTATGGTTTTGAATACTTTTGGATTTTTTTCACTTTCAAATCTAGTGTAAATATCCACCTTTGACAACAACATTTTGATAAGCTTTCTTCTAAATGTTGTGTAGGTAAGCCTATCTTTTCCTTCTCAGATACCTTATGTCATTAAGATGTAACTGACCAACATTTTCACCAATTCTTCTTGGTTATTGTTTTACATGATTCTTCAGTGTTCCAAAATGTAGTCAGTGGGAGCTGGTTTATGGCTGAATTTTAAAAAGAGAAACAAAAATAAATAAATAAATAAATACAATTAATGAAATTTCTGCATAAAACATAACTGTTGCCACTCACTATACAGAAATATATTTTTGAATACTGACAGCAATGTATGTCCTTTTAATTTTTCCACGTGTTTAAAAATGGAATTTCTTTCTTATCTAAGAACCCACTTTCAATCTAAAAGTTTAAAAATAAGGTTCACAACTTACTTAATAGATGAAAACTATTCCCACAGCAGATTAAGTAAAGTAACATTTATAATAACATATAGTTTTAACGCAATTTTCTTTGTAAGGACAGACTAGTTACAAAATCAAAGATCCATTTCTTTCCTGATACTGACACAGATCATGGGACTTGCCATTTCACACACTGAATGATGAAAAGTCAAGCAAGCAAGCAAGCAAACAAACAAACAAACAAAAACCTTTACATGAATTCTGATAGAATTGAAAACAGCAGAGTTGTTGTGTCTACCTTTAATTTTCTGTATGTCTAAGAATAGTGAGATTAATTTATACTCAGTTCAATATTAATTAAAAATAGTTGCATTACATGTTATATGTGTTTTGTTGTGACAACTTTATGACTGACTGAAGGCTTAGAGAAATCTAACCACAGATATGATATTTAGTTCAATAGAAATTAAGTGAGGTGGGTTGGGGGTGGGTGTGTTTGTGTGTGTGTGAAATATGGAGGCTAGAAGTCAATGGTGGGTATCTTCCTCAATCATCCCATCTTGCTTTTCCAGACAGGGTGTCTGCTGAACCTGAAACTCTCCCATTCACTATTTTGGCTGCCCATTGACCAACAGCAGCTCTCTAGTCCTGTGATTACAGATCTTTTAACTTTTAATATGGAAGCTAGAATCAAACTTAGATCCTTATAGCAAGCATTTTACTGACTGAGCCATCTCTCAGTCCCTAAAGTGTAGTGTTGTTTTACATTTAAAGATGGTTTAGAAATAAAAAAAAGGTACCATGCTGCTGCAAGGATTGAACCCTCTGACAAGAGTAGAGTCAAGGAGAGAGTGTACCTTCATCCTCTCACTTTGGCAATTAGAATCATCATTCATGCACCAATACAAAACTATCCTGATTTGTTGACAGAAAACAACAGAGCCTAAAGCCCTAACCTGTTATTCTGCCTTCAAAGCACCAAACTCAAGCTAAACCCAGTTAAAATCCTTTTATCCATACCACATTTACCACTCAGTGGACAGCCAGAGTCATCATGAGGAGGTGAGCTTGAGAAAGTTGATCAAACTGTCAGTGACAGAAAAACATCTGATGGCTTATTAGAAAAGTACACCATTTTGAAATAGTGCATGATGCTTAATTTTAGTCAACTTTAAATAATAAAATGAACACTTAGAGTAGCCAATGCCCTCAAGATAAAGACTACTGCAATGCAGTCATCTTCCGTCCAAGTAATATATTGATTTGGTGATACAGGTGAAAGGATATGAGAAGTCATACCCATTAAGACATATCAGAAAGGACATTTTTCAGGATTTGGACTTGATTTCAATGCTTTGGAGGTGTAAGAAAGTGAGCCTTTGTACTGGGTTGACTTTTCTCAGAACAATTACGTAATTTAAAGTTTGGGCATCACAATGATTCCTATTTTAAAATGAAACAATGCGGGAAAGCTCAAGCAGTATTTGATAAAGGAGCAGCAGCCAACCACAGTAACCCAAGATGGAGAACTGCCTGTGTCTTGCAACTTGAAGAGTGGGCTTTTGATCCTGTTGCATTAGCATGAAAGGGTGGTCTCATCTGTTGAAACCTTGTGAAATTTTCATGTGTTATAGGAGGACATTAGAGGCTCATTCTCTATCTGCCACCATCTCCTAGCAACACCAAACCTGATGTGATGCCATTCTACCTCCCAGGGGTCAGGTTATTTTTCTCTTGCTTCAAACATCTTAGAGAACTTAATGATTTTTTTTAGATATACTACATTTATATACTGAAATAAAGAACACATAATTCAATTCACTATAAGCAAACATAGTGGTCCATTCTACCACAAGGAATGATAGGTTTTGCATCCAAAAATAGATAAGTGAAAAGAAGGTGATGAGGCAGGAAAAGAGGGAGGAGTGACATTAGCAATACCAGGGGGTGGGTGGGTAAGAAGCGTTAGGTGTTTGTGGTGAGGAGCCATCTGAGAAGATCCACAGTTCTTGAGTTCTTGCTTCAGAGTGAGCTGGGATTTGTCCTGCTTTTTATGGATAGACCCTATGATATGTCACTGCTCATAGTAATCTCTGAAAAGCTGTGACTTCCATCTTGCTTGCACTCACTCTTGCTAGTCCTATTTGATTTCTCCGGTGGAGCACTCTTCTGTACACAGATGCAGTTACAAGTAGAGTCCACCAGCAATGAATACAAAGTCCACAGATTATGATGCTAGAAGGAACTGAAACCTACCAGCATTCATGTTGATAAACTTGCAAGCACTCTACCCCCAGCCAAGCTCTGGGATAGCTGTAGTGCCTGCCCAATGCCTCAATGACACTTATAAGTGTCATAACATGGGGACTTAGCTAAGCAGCAACTGATTCCTGATTTACAGAGACTTTGCAGAAAAATTCATTCAGGTTACTAATATCTGATATAATCAGTTATACAGCCTCAGATTACCAGGCAGGAATGAAGGATGAGGATCAGGGTAAGGAGGATGAGGAGAATGGGGAACAGAGGCCATAGATTTAAAAGAGATGCTTGTTCCCAAGGTGTTTAAGTTACTGTGTCACCTAATCCTGGTCTAATTATTAAGGGGTAAGTCAAAAGTAAAGTAACAACATGAGATTTCAGGAGAAGATAATGGGATCTTACTGTGAATATGGGTCTACTCTAGGTGTGAAAGAATATGGAGTATCTTAGCATCTTGGGCTTCTATGTGGCTTGACTTAAGCAATCATTCAATTCGAAACAATATATCTAGCAATCCAGTACCCAGTAAACAATGGAAATGCTGTACTTTCCTTAGTTGTTCTTGAAAACTCTGTTTCTATTCAAACATATACTAGGACACAGTATAGGAAATATGGGTTATGAGCTGATCTGGGAAGAAGGAGTTTGGGTTCCATCTTATGAGTGTGCAACCTGGGTATGCATATAATTAAAACCACATGCATTGTGGGAAAGGGCATGTTCAGTTGGGAAAGGGTAATGAAGTTTAGTCTGTCAATTAAAATAGAACCATCCAAACTGTGACCCTTAACAACCAACCTCTTCCTTCTTTTGAATCCTGTAAAAAGTTAACCTAGGCTCTGAGTATCTTTGTTTCACTTTGAATAACGTTTCACTGTTACTTTAAAATTTGTGAGGTTTTATCTCATTGTTGAGTAAGAGTTCAAGAAACCCAACTGAGGCCCCATCCAAGAGTAACATTCATATTTAATCAAAGCTCAATTCTATTGAAAACCAATGCCAAAGTTATAGTGAATGTTCTATGAACTAAATGCCAGGGTTTATAAATTATTCTGGGTACCCAATTTGGGAAATTTAGGAAAATGAATTCTTTGGGTAGGAGGTAGTAAACATGAAAGAGAATTTATTATCGCTTAAATGTTTTGAAATATTTATTAAAGGAAGTCCTCCCACTAATATCTTATTCACATCAATGCTGTGAGCTAATCTCCTTAAGCATCGCAGCAGGAAGTAGACAGACCAAGGATAACAGCACCAATATTAGAAACAAATGACACAGCAGGAGTAAGTTCAGTGAATGAGTCATCTCAAAGGAACCCCATGCATGCCAAAACTAAACTGTAAATGTAACAGTTCACAAGAACTTCAAGATAAAATCAGACTGTATCTAAATATTAGATCAGGAAACACTGGTGACCCAAAGCTCAAGTAATTGATAGTCCTTTGGGATACTTTAATTATAATTTCAAGCACTCTAATGTACAAAAGCCAATCATTGCCTTAGTTGTATGTTTTCAACTTTTGACATGACAGAGAAAGCCAATAAGTTTATTTTAAAAGTTTTAATCAAGAAATGTCTGTCTACACTTTCTATAACTTTAGTTAATGTACATGCCAATCATTAGAAGGTCTTGTTGAAAAAGAAATTCAGATTTTAGTAGATGGGGTGGGTGGAGTCTTTAGCCTTTGGTCAAGGGTATAAGAGTAGCTGCACTCCCCTGATAGAACCTCCACGAAGCTCTCAACGGGAAAGGACAAATGCTCCCTCAAATGAACTGATCTTCTGGAAGTACCTGTAACAGAACAACAAGCAACAAGTGCTTGGAGTTAACACAGTGATGGGCAGAAAGGAATTAGATGTGAATCTTCATGCAGAAGCTGGGGGTATGATTCCTAATCAAACATTATGGAGATGAAACACAGCTGTGCTAAGTACAGTCAAGTACTTACTTGAGATATGACCAGGAATTCCACACACCATACTGTCACAATCTGAACAGAGAAAACACACTACTTTATGAAGGCTTTGTAAAAAAATTTTTGTTTTGTTTTGTTTTGTTTTACAAAGCCTTCATACCTCTCAAAAAACGATCTGGACTTTAATAGGTATGTGGCCACCCAATTGTTTGTAGAATATTTGGTTTGGTTAACAGTTCCATTCCCAGCTCCTACATAGTCTGTTGAATATGTAACTCCTGTCCCAGGGGATCAGGTGCCCTCTTCTGGCCCCAGTGGGCACTGCACTGATGTGCATGCAGATAAAACCGGTACAGATTTGTAGCAAACACAAGGCTGCCTGCGCAGGAGCAGTGCTAATCTTCTCTCTACTGTTCCAATTTTAGTATATGTGCTGTCAAAGCACTGGGGAGATTTTCAGAGATTTACAAGGATGACACCAACTGACAATCTAATCAGTAGTGGAGAGACTACCTTAAATGCCTTTTCCCTATAATGAGATTGATAAATACCTTGTATGCTATCCTAGAGCCTTCATCCAACAACTGATGGAAGCAGAGGCAGACCCACAGCTAAACACTGCACTGAACTCCTGGAACTCAGCTGCAGAGAGGGAGGAGTGATGAGCAAAGGGGTCATGACAGGATGGGTGAAACCCATAGAAAGAGCTGACCTGAACAAGGGAGAATTAGGACCAGGTTCTTAATACTAAGAAATCTTTGCTTTAACCTGTAAAATGAGTTTTCACATGAAGTTAGATATGCAGACATATTTTTATGACACAAAGTAATGGTCATACCTACTGGTGGCTCATGGACCCCAGACTGATGGCTGAGAGGCCAGCATAGGACAAATCCAGACCCCCTAATGTGGGTGTCAGTGAGGAGGCCTCGGCAATCTGTGGGACCTTAGATAGTATATCAGTATTTAGCCCTGGAATACAAATGGGCTTTGGGAGCCCATTCCACATGGAGGGATGCTCCCTCAGCTTAGACACATAGGGGAGGGCCTAGGCCCTGTCTGGGATGATATAGCAGACTTTGAGGATTTCCCCATGGAGGGCCTCACCCTTCCTGGGGAATGGAGGGGTTATTGGGTGGGAGTTTGGGGGAGTTGGTTGGGGGCGGCAGAGGAGGGGAGTTTGAGGGAACTGGGATTGACATGCCAAGCAAGCTTCTTTCTAATTTAAATAAAAAAATAAAAAGCAAGGCCTCCTGCATACTGGCCAACAGTCCACTACTGTACTACATTCATAGTCCAAGGAAGTTTAATGAAAGAAGAACCAAATTCAATCTTTCTGCTATTTTATTCACTGGGACAGATAGTTTTGGGGAGGGACAAAGAAGAAGTATAGTTATAACAAAAAGAAATTCAATATATCCAAAGCTTCTGTGACAAAGCAGCAAGCTTAGTTATATATGATTTTCACCCATTGTACATACTTTGGTACTCAGTGAATAAGAATTAGGACCAGGTTCTTAATACTAAGAAATCTTTGCTTTAACCTGTAAAATGAGTTTTCACATGAAGTTAGATATGCAGACATATTTTTATGACACAAAGTAATGGTCATACCTACTGGTGGCTCATATAGACATTTATTTTTTAAGTGGACTGGTTGTTAATTAACATGACATAAAATAGTCACTTGAAATGAGTCCTGGGATCCTATGGAAGGTCAAATATACACCAATTACTTTATAATATAATATGCTTTCTACTCCCTAGAGTGGACCATTTCTAATGCTGAATGAAGTCTGTACATCACTATGCATGTGAAACTGTTTCTATCTGCTTTGAATGATTAGACAGGGGTGGTTTATATTCGGTAAATGGAAATTTGAAAACCCTGGAACAGACTTTCAATGTTCATTTATTTCTTTTCATACAATATGTTTAGAAATTTTCATATTTCATAATAATTGTTTTAAGCATCATAATAGTTTTAAACATCAAGAATGGGTTTAATACATAAAAACACATATGCATCATTTTAGGTCTGAATCAATAGGTGATGAACGTATAGATTAGCTACCTACTTATCTTAAAGGAAACATATATTTGTAGACAGATACATAGTAGAGTTATAGATAGATGGATTTATTAATGCATATTATATATGTTCACATTATATTACATCCACTGATATATATATATCCACACCAACATGACCAAAGTTATTACTGTACAGAACATGAAACAATAACTTCTTCTGATATACAATCTGTGATAACAAATATTCCATCTTGACTCCTCAGCGTGTGTTCTCCTCTAAGAGTTCCTGTTCATGCTATTAATAACAAGTAAAAGAATGTCACCATGAGTAGGAAGTAATCGGTACCGCTTTGTTCTTTCATATCAGTTCTATATACAAACTTCCTGTGGTGTGTGTGTGAGTGTGTGTGTGTGTGAGTGTGTGTGTGAGTGCACACACGCACACATTTGTTCTTGTTGCTGTTAGTGACTGTGGACCGAATATATCATCTTGAATGAAATGGTAGTTATAGAGAGTCTATTTTCCAAATCTGGTTGAATCAGTGTAAATCAGCCTCGCTGGAAATGTAGCTGATATTTATGTAGCTGATATTTAAAATCTGTTCTTCTTAATTTATCTTAATTGCATCATTTCTCGAATAAGTTATGTGATTTGAATGTGGAATGCTCCTCCACCCAGCATCATACAGGTGAACAGATTACTCACTAGGTACTGCATCCTTTGAGCCATGTTCTGAAATAGCATCCTTTGTCTTGACTTGCTTCTGTCAGATATGTGCCTCAGAATCCAGAAAAGAATCAGAGGGAAAAAACTTTCATCTCATTAAGATGCATTTCTTACAAATGGATGATAATCATATTTCAAATAATTAATATTGATGACACCCTTAAGTCTGATAGTTGGTTGTTTTTCAGTGCTGTGTGTTGGAAATATAAACTAAAGGAACAGTATAGGTTCTGGTCGTATGTGACTTTCCCATTTTTAAACTAATTTCATATTAGTCTAAGGCTGCCTCTGTACCTTTAGTCTCTTTGTTACAAACAACAAACGTAGTGTAGTGACTAAAACAAACCAACTGTGTAACAATGGAAATGGGGTTTGTTTTGCTCTTGTTTGTTTCACTGTTCCTTTGGGGAAACAGTGCTGGTAAGATGGTGACAAAGGCAATGAAAAGATTCCTCAGGACAGAAAGGCAGAAGTAAGAACGCACTGTGGTGAAGCTGCAGTGAAGTGGCACAGAGGGAAGCAACTAAGGAGGAGCTTTCGCAGGTAAAGGGGTTTTATGCCGGGAGTCAGATCAGGCTTTTGATCTTATAATGCAATTCTATATTTCCTCCCTCTCTTTCCTCCTATTAAAACCTCCCCACCCCACACCGCTCTCTCTTTCATGTTCATGGTCCGTTTTGCTTGTTACTGCATAACTCCTAAATCTATAAATAAATGCATCCTGCTGGGTCCCTATAAGGTCACCTGCATGCATATTACTTGCAGCTGACCACAGGGTATTGGCTAACCAATTGGTGTGCTCTTCCCTGGGGAAGACAGTATTTTCTGCTCTCAGCATTTCTTTAGTGGCCTACATTTCTTCATCTGTGATCAAAGCCTCCTGAGCTTTCCTCCGTCCATGTCAGCATGTGTATTGTTGTTTCCATGGTTTAGGCTGCCATGCTGATGAGATTTTATAGGTAAGCTTCCTTGATTTACGGGAGACAAAGGCTCACAACAAATTCCCTGTTCCTCTGGCTGATGCGATATTTCTGTCCCCACTTCTGTGATAAGCCCTGAGTCTAGATGCATAATCAACTGTTCTCTGAATGTAATCGGCTGTGGTTTTCTTTAACAGTCTCTCTGCCTGTTACAAAGAGAAATTTCCTTGATGAGAGGTAACAATTATATTTATTTGTGTGTATAAAAATAAATATTTACTATGTATTTAGGGATTATGCTAGTTTAGCAATGTGGTAGTTGTAAATTCTCCTCCAAGATCCCATGACTTTTCTAGCTCTGATAGTTGACTGGGTTTCAAGTGCCTGGCATAATCTGTCCCTTACTAAGTGGGCATTAATTCCAATTAAAGACTTGAATATAGCCAAGGTGTGTATTCCACTGTGGTTGCTTAAGGTTACATGCGAGGCAGATTGTTGCTGTAGTTCATAGCTGTCATAGGAGAGTAGAACTCTTCATTCCTTCTCTCCTATGAAAACTTCAGTGGTACCTCTGGTACCATGACTTTTAATCCTCCAGGAAAGTGATGTTAGGTCAGCTTACCCTTGGGTTCTCTTAGCCCTGTGTCTGAAGTACATGGTATCTTCAGCAATATGAAATTATCTTTCACCTCTGAGAGGCACCAGGGACAAAAGCAATAATGTTTTGGAGTCTTTTGAATAACCATGATAAACAACCCAAAGGGTGAATTCTTGTGCCTAGTGTTGGGAGTTTTGGTAGATGTTTCTTGAGAGGAGCAATATTAGGCCAGGTGGGACATTCATTGAAGTCATGCATTTACATATGCACAAATTATACATATTATGTGTCAGTTTAGGTAGACAGATAACAGTATGATTCCTTACAACTTTTTCAGATATTCTTATCGTTATTGCCCTCTTTCCTGTGTATTTATCTACCTATTCTCAGTATGGCATGACCATCTTGCTTCTCTTTGTATTTCTCACAACTTCTCTGGCTCCACCCTTCTTTTCCCCCCATTCCTCTGTCTGAATGTCCCGCCTACAGTTGTTGTCTAGCTACCAGCCAGTCAGCTTTTTATTAAAACAAATCTTCATAGTGAACAGAAGGATTATTTCACAGCACAAGGTTTTCCATAGGGAGCTGAAATGGTAAATTTTTGTTTATTTGTATCTTTTGAGATAAGATCTTATGTAGCCCAGACTGTCCAGAAGCTATCAGTACAGCTAAGGATAACTTTGAGCCTTGGTCTTTTTCCTCCCTATCCTAGTGCTGGGATTTCAAATCTGTGGAACAGCATTAGGTTTGATCTGAAATTTATAAAGTCAACCAGAAGAATGGCAAATGACAGGGCCTCAGAAATAACTGCAACTGTTCTCATACATTTTCATTTTCCAACCTAAATATGCATAGATCATTCAGTGTGGTGAGGATAAGAGTAGAGGGCAAGGACTTAGACTGGACAGGCCTACCTCCCAGATCTGTCACTAACAGATGACCTTGGGATGGATACATATATGCGTGTGTATACATATATATGTACATATATAACAAAAATCACTCTCCAGTACTAGCAGTGCTTATGAGATAATTAAATAAAATTATATAAAGAACTTCAGATTCTGTGGATGACCTCCTGGCACCTTCAAGTGGTTACTGTCAAGGAACTCCTAGCTATTTCTCCCATGACAATGATCAGCTTGTACTTGCTTGTCTTTATTCTT